AGATGCAGTCAGTGGAAAATACAGTGGGGAGATTTATATACACACAGAACATGAAAAAATGGGTGTTATCATACACACTGTAAGGAGAATGATCACTTAAGATGAGCTAATGCCAGCAGGAGAATGTTCATATTTCAATAATACAGCATCACACCACCGAACACTTTTTGAACACTTTTCACTGGTAAATCTCAAAGTGCTTTACAAAGAAGGGCAGTATCATTATGCCCATAGTCAGTTCTTCCTGCTTCCTTATTGAGGACCATGGGTGTGATACTGCCCTTATTATTCAGGCAAGACTCTCACAGGCTACATTGGGAATTGTCCTTAAGGAAGAACTGAAGGACAGGTCCCACTGAACCTAATTCTGCCCCACTTTAGTGTCCAGTCTTGCAGTGGGAGATTTAACCAATTTCAGTGGCAGCCAGAATGGGCCCCTATACCAATGGAAATCAGGAGTAACTGCACTGAAGTCAGTGGAATTAAAACAGCATCAAAGGAACCAGTGTGAAAAGAGACTATAGGTGAATTTCTGGCTAAGATTTATTCAGAACACTACTGTTCTTTAAACAAGAAATAGGATGGGATGTGAGGTTTGTATTCAATAACAGTTCATGAACTGCTGGAAATGTTACACTTTTCCTAAATGTTTGCCTGGCTTTCATCAGATGGAAAGTTCAGGGCAAGGAGTTCATATCAGAAATGGCAAGTATTACTACTATGCTACAGGGTTAAAAATTATATACATACCAACAGTTATATATTCATGGAGATAGTTGCCCATATTAACTAAAGCTGGTTCAGCAAGGTGTGAATTACATTGCTCTGCAACAGCCTGCCCACTTGCATCAAGGGGGGATTCACTCCCAGGGAAAATAGATGGCACAGCCTTCCTTCCAGATTTCCTGTTGAAGGAGAGGAGCTTTAGGGTCAGATCTTTGGTTCCTGACCTGACAGCACAAGGGGCAGCTGAGGATTCTCACAAGGCAGGGGAATCTTGGGTGGTGTACAGCCAGTGAACCTATACCTATGCCACCGGGCCCCTCCATGTCAGGGTAAGGCCAGAGCGCAGAGTGCCTGGCCTTTATCTGAGTCCCTGTGGGACTGATGCTGCTGGTGTAACTGTGATGACATATTTGAAATAAACAATAATCCTGAATATAGAGAAAGTTAACATGCTGAAGATAATGGGAAGAGAAAACATATAAAGTGGTCTTAGGTTTGTCATCAATCTATTCCAGGATTCTCACTCTCTGTGTCTCTCTGAAGCCTAGAATGTCTGTTGAGTCAGGGCTTGTCTACAGTAGGCAGCTTTTAGCGACAAAGCTGTGTCGACACAGCCTTATCGCTAAAAGTCAGAGAGTGTGAATGCTCTTTTGTGGTATTTTGTCGGCAGAGCGCTCCTGCCGACAAAGCTGTGTTCACACTCCTGCTTGCGTCAGCAAAACTTTTGTCTTTTGCGGGGGGGGGGCTTTTTAAAGTACCTGCGAAAGACAAAAGTTTTGGTGACAACTGCGCAGTGTAGAAATACCCTTAGTGTGAAGCAAAAGAAACAGCCACAAGCATGGTTCAGGGCTCCTTTTGTTCAGAATATCACTAGGTTCAAACATCATTGGGTTTTGTGATCTGTTACCATCCAATTTTTAAGTTCTCTGCCATTTTGACTTTACAAATTATACCCGTGTGGTATATAGCTACAGTAAGGCATGTATCTATGCCATGCCAAGAGTCCTAGACCATTGTTATAGGAGAGGTAACTCAACCAATCACCACCCTTACTTTACAGCTAATTTTCTTACAACAATATAATTGGTGTATGAGGGAGACAGCACACATGTGGGATTACTTGGCCCAGCTGCCACCCTGAGGTGCTCAATTGCCTCACAAATCCACACAAATCTCCCAGCACAACTCCCTACAAACAAATCAACACAACCAGCATATGCATTAACCCCAAGTATATATAGCCCCTTGCCACAGCACACACCCTCATTTGCTACCTGCACCAGTCCACACAACTATCTCAGCACAACACAAGCCAATTCCACAATAACTCCAAACATCACTCGAAAGTCTAGAACATCTATTAAGTCAGAGTGAAGTGATGGAAACAGCTACAAGCATGGCTGAAATGTCTTTTTGTTTGGACTATCACCAGGTTCAATCATCACTGGGATTCACCATCTCTTACTATCCAAGCCATTTTTGGCTTTTTTACACACATGACTTTATGAATTACACCCATGCTACAGCAAGGACTTTCAGTTACTAGTGGGATAGTAATGCCCACTTTTAGTTCATAAGAGTATTTTGGAAATGCAACTCCATCACTGTCTTCAAGAAATATTCGGTCCCATCTACTAATGATAAAAATCAGCCATTTTTTACTTAAGAGGATAAAGCCATTCAAGTATAAAACTGTATTAATCTACATCTAAATAGAGAAGAAGATGAATAGTAAGGCCTTTTAAAACCAGTATGGGAACAAGATAAAAGGAGAAGAAATCAGAACTGTTAAAAGACAACTAAAACAGGGCTTTAAATCTATGAGGCTACACTAAATGTTGTACAAATTAACCAGATCCAGAATTAGACCAGCAAGTCAGAGGCTGGAGATGTGAAAGGGTGAGAGTAAGATACAAATGTACAATGTGGGACTGCCGGGTTATCAAATAGATTGAAATTACACAGCTTTAAAAATCTATAATAAACTGCAATATCTTCTTAGTCCCATTTCCACTTCTGCTAAATGTCTTCACAAATCTCCAAAGCTGATCAAATTAATATTTAAAAATGGATCTTACTAGAATTGATCAGAGCAGTGATTAATAACAATACTATCAGCCACAATGCACACATCAGAAAACTAAAACATGGTGCAATGCACTTAATTCTAACCTACCAGTGCTACATTATTTAATGAGTTATTGACAGCTATTATTCTAAAGGTCTAAATCCTTGAAGCACCATTGAGGCCAATGGAATTACTGTGATCTACAGTAGCTGAGGCTCTGAGCCATTGCTAGCATTATCACATACCATACACCAGACAAAAAAAGGAAGCAAAGTTGAGTATGACTTTCAAAAAGTCAGATCTATTATGCAGTACACACTGCTAAAAACAAAACAAACACACACAAAAATCCCCAGCCACAAACGTTATTGAACTGTAGATAGATACACAAGTCATATGTACTTTCACAGTCTATTATGCTAACCAGTTAACATATCAGTGTGATGGTTGAGCTTTGAATGATAGAATCAAAAGATCATAGATATGTGTTTATCATTTGCAAATAGCAAAGTGGATGGGGCTGGGAGAAGTAAAAGTGAGGGGAGGAAGGCAATAATGAGGGAGGGCACCAGACTGCAGAACACCTCAGTGGTTGTTATAAAAAGATTTATATGGGGGCCAGTCCTGAAGTGCCAAGGAGTAAAAAGCTCTCTGCTCCCATCTGTTGGTGAACGGGGGAAGAATGGCCACAGACCTGTTTCATCTGCATGACTATGTAGTCAGAACTCCAGATGGACAGATGCTCCAAAGGGAAAGGAGCTCTGTGCCCCCATCCTGTGGTGAACAGGGTAAGTATGGTTACAGACAGCACTTCAATAGCATGACCTTTCTTCCAAGAATTCCTTCAGTGACACTCTGGACACCACCATAGTTCACAAACTCAGAACAGGCTGGTTAGTGGAACTGAATAAGGGGGAAAAGGGCTCCTATCTTGCAGTATGAAGTGTCTCTCCAGGAGCAAGGACTCTGCTCAAGTGTCCTACGTGCCACTGTTTCACCTCTTCTGAGGATCCTGTGCTGTTGAGAGGTCTTGGCAAAAGAGAGCTGACACAGACTGAGGACGTCAGGATAAGAGACATGATGTAGAGGTGGCTTCTCAACAGGCGCAGTGCAGAGATGCCTGTTCACTGAAGCCACAGAGAACAGCAGCAGAGCTGTGTGGCCCTTGGTGAGGCCTCTCTTACAGCCAGTAAATAAAGCTGAAATCTCTCGGTGATGGAGGTAGAGCCTCAGGACAGGACCGGGAAGCACTTCCTAAGGGACTGGAGACAGGCCTGCCCCAGTGCACCTCAGGACGCTGGGACTATACTACCTACTGATATCAAACCATGAGTGAGGGAGTGGGAACGTGATGTGGTAAAGGGAGGTATTTGCCAATTGGACATTCACACTGGTGTGTGGAGAGCCAAGTTAATGAGTTACTGCCAGAATTGCCACAGGGGGTGTATTTTACTTTTCATTTATTTACATATATTTTTGCTATATTCCCTTTTGCCCCGTTGTGTTCTCCTTGTTTTCTACCCAGACTCCCTGCTTGTGAATGGGGACATATTACCTATTAAGAGCACCCAGGATAGGGAGTTAATGATCCCGGAAATTCTGGGTGGGGCTCGAGTCATTGGGGTTTGTTAGTTTTAAGAGTGGCCCCTAACTATTTGATCCTGGCCCTAGTTGCTGCTAACAACACCTGGCACAGGTACATTTGCCAACAAGCACTACACAGTGGTATCTGCGATTATACAGATTATACTCCAAATTCAGTTCAGTACAAAATGAGACTCAAATTGAAAAAAGGGTTATTGGGGGATCAGGAAATCTGTTAGGCTGAGAGATTCTGCTGCTGTATACAGAAGAATGTTGGGGGAAGAATGATATATTCATGGCCTCTTAAGATTATTTCCTCTCTTGTTTCTTTCTGCTGCTAAAACATTTGGAAAAGAGACACTGGTGGTCACTGTGTGATAACTGCTGGCAAATGTTATTGTTTTAATGGCTTTTACTGTGACTTGGTACTACAAACTGATATCCTGTTCTTGGCAATGTTTTGTAATATTAGAGGTGAATGATCTTCAGGATGGATTATTTTGAACATTGAAGTATGCATCTATAGTCAGCCAAAGACAGCCGGAATCAGCTGGATTCTTTGTACACTCGTCAGCCTGGAATTTGTCCTTGTAAGAAGGGCTCTTTATTTTTGTCTCTCCAGATTCTCGCCTTGAAATGCAGTCAAGAAATCTAATGAATTGCTGCGAAGGTCAAAGTTTATCGCTATGTAATTACAGCACATTCCCTTAATGGAGAAGTGGAAGCAAAAAACAAAATAAAAATGTGAAATATTTTGTGTTCTATTTAAGTCTTCTGAATGCTTTAGCCATTCCTAAGTATATACAATTTTCACTCAAAATTTCAGAGCAGAGTGAAACTCCCATGAAGCCTCAATGGGATTCATGCAGATAAAATTTTACAGAACACTTAAAGAACAAACAGAAGAGACAACAAAACATTTATGTATTTAAGTGCAATATGCAGAAATACTCTATATTCCATTTAAAGCAATGTATATGTTTTCCTGAGCAGTAATGGTGGTGGGTTAATAGGACTCATTAGACAAATATAGAAGAGTGTCATATTTATATATTTCTCCCTTCTGAAAAAGTGAACTAAGAACAGTTATCCTTGCCAGTTTACATACTTCTAGTTTTCTTTTTGAGGCTACAGGCTCTGCTGTGCAATAGCAACCCTTGCCTTTGTTGTGCCAACATTAGAGCTATTTATACTTTATGACAGCTTCCTGTGTTAAGCAAAAAATTCAGCCCCTTTTCTGTGCTTGCACAAAGCCCAGTAGCAGAACCAGTGTGGCTCTGCTGTATGTAGGAGGCAGGAGTTGGGAATCCCTATGTACTGTGGAGTAGAGTACACAGTCAAAATGTTTTTGTCCTAAAAAATGCCTATTTGAAACAAACATCTTGTGCAAAAGAGTTGGTTTCAATCAACTTTATTTTACTGGAAAATTAAAAAAAAAAATTTGAATTACTGAAATGTTTATTTCAACATTTTTAAAATGAAAAACTTCAGTTTTCCATGTTAAAATGACTTTTTGTTTAGAAATTCAAGGACAGTATAAAAAATGAAATCTAAAGAAAGTGTTTAAAAATTATTGAAATGAAATGTTTTGATTGACCGGAACAGAATCTTTTTTTAAAATTTTCAGTTCACAAATATTTTTGAGATTTTGACGTTTCTTCCCAATTTGGGATGTGAAGATTTTTCAGAATCTCACAAATTTTCACAGGATAGGAAAACTGTTTCCCACTCTTACTATGGAATCCAATTCCATGGAGGTCACCCCTGCATTCCCATACTGATGTATTCTGGAGAAGGCTGAGAGAGGAGCAAGGGGAGGCAGGCTGAGCCATTGCTATACCAAGTTTGAACAGGAGTGGCTGCACTTTTGGTTCTGCAAGAATAGTCACCTTGTGTGTGGGAAGGGTTGACTTCTACAATCCATCTGCCAACTTCTCTTTCAGATGTGCACACAAGAGGTTCTGGAGAACTCCCCCTCCCTGCCCCTCAAACCATATTTTTTTCCTACCTATGATAAGACAGATAAAAACAATACAGGTCTAATTCGTACAATTATATAGGAAAGTGGGCCTAAATTATTCTTTTCTGTAGTGGCTTTGAGTGGTTCCTCTCCATCAGCTGTGGAGGGAGATCACTCCACCTCGCTATGCCACCTAGCAGCTGATAGCCAACTGGCAGGGGACAAGCGTAGTATGTGCCAGTAAAGAGTCTAGGTCTCTGGCCCGAAGGGGCGGGGCAGGGCAATTAGCAGTCTTGAGACCAGCTCCCTGGCTGGGGCAGACAGCAAACACAGGCTCAAGCCCTCTGGGCAGGGCAGGGCAGCAGCAGTCTATAGCCAAGCTCTTTGGCTAGGTCAGGCAGCAAACAGACACAGGCCATCCGGTCTCAGGTGGGTAGGCTGTCACCCCAGGGATGGGGTTGGCAGCAGTGGATAGGGAGACCCAGGCCACCCTACTCCACCAGGTCCCAGCCCATGTCCCTATCAGTGGTGAGTGATCCCACAACTGGGTCAGTGGGGATCCTCCCGAAACATGCTGACTGTAGTTTCTGCAACACAACTGGACTAATGTCTGGTTTCCCTGGGCTAATTCCTACCCCAACTTTTTTGTAGGGCTCCATTGCTTACAGGTCCTCAGGCTCCTCTGAAACCAGTAGTCCCCGCAGTTTCTTGGGGTACTTGGCTGATGGCAGCCTCAGCAGCTCTCTTCCCTTGGGGTCCTCCTCCAGGAGCAGGGGTTGGCATAGATTGGTCCCTGGTGGAGGGGCAAGCAGCATGACAGAGGTGTCTGACTCCTTCCCTGATGCTGGCGCAGCTGAGCTGAAGACCCGCCTCTTATACTTCCGGTTCCTCCCTGTCAACTCAGAAGGAGGCCACTTTGCCTTGCTACACAGGCTAATGGTGATCCCTCCAGGCTAAGGCGTAGGCACAATGGAACAAAGTTTGGAGAAGTTTACCTGGATGCTGTCTGTGCACTACCTGTTCTGGGGATAGAGGACTCAGACCTAGAACTGACACTTTTCACAAGCACTAAATTCATTGAAAATTCCACATGTCTTTTGGTATTGTCTTTGTACATTGACCAAATACCTAGCAACACTTGCTGTGGACCATTGCAATTAGCTATGCAATTTCACTGTACTTGAGCACTCCTGTGACGACTCAGTGCTAACAAGTGATTACTCTCTCACACATCCTTTGCTCCTGAACACAGTTCAGTTCTTGGAGCAGCCTCCAGGAAAAAAAGCCTCATGTGTAGGGTGACCATATTTCCCAAAGGGAAAACGGGACACTGCGTGGGGCTAGCCCAAACCTCCCCCCCCCCCCCCCCCCATGTGGGACTGGCTTGAGCCACTAGTCTAAGTCCCTACTCCCACCCGGGGCTGGCCTGAGGGCCCCCGCCCCCAATGTGGCTGACCCAAGTCGCTCATCAGAGCCCTGAACCCCTCCACCCACAGGGCTGGTGTCGCTGCTTGCTTGAGCCCTGCCTGCCCGCTGCCCGAATCCTGCCTCCCTGCCTGCGTGGACCTGGCATCGCCACTCACTTCCCTGCACATTCTATACCCAATTTTTTTTTATAAAAGTGGGCATTTGGCCCGACTTCTGTTGGTGAGAGAGACAAGCGTTCAAGCTTACACAGAGCTCTTCTATGACGAACTAAAGCCCCTTATCCAAAAGCTCAAATCTGTGCATACACACACAGCACTTAGACTTTGCTCACTCACTATTTGGGCCTAATTTTCAGATCATCCTAGGCATCCACATATGTCTTTGAAAACAGATCGCATTTCCTACAAACAGAAGAGTGCTCAGATACAGCATAACGCTATGTGTGTATGCAAAGATTATTTGAAAATGTAGGCCTAAGTCATGTACATTTAAAGTAAGTTTTAATATAGTATGAGAAAACTACCCATAAAGATAGTCAGACTGATTCTCCTCTCCTTTACAATGGCTTTATATCAGTGAATTCTCATTGACATCAAAAGGTTACTCCTCATTTACACCAGGGGACATAAGGGGAATATAAGAACGGCCATACTGCGTCAGACCAATGGTCCATCTAGCCTAGTATCCTGTCTTCCGACCATGGCCAATGCTGGGTGCTTCAGAGGGAATGAACAGAACAGGTAACCATCAGGTGATCCATCCCCTGTTGCCCATTCCCAGCTTCTGGTAAACAGAGGCTAGGGACACTTCAGAGCATGGTTTTTTATCCCTGCCCATCTTGGCTAATAGCCATTGATGGACCTATCCTCCATTAACTTATCTAGTTCTTTTCTGAAATCTGTTATATTCTTGGCCTTCAGAAACTCCTCCGGCAAAGAGTTCCACAGGTTGACTGTGCATTGTGTGAAGAAATACTTCCTATTGTTTTTTTTAAAACCAGATGCCTATTAATTTCATTTGGTGACCCCCTAGTTCTTGTGTTATGAGAAGGAGTATATAACACTTACTTATTTACTTTCTCCACACCAGTCATAATTTTATAGACCTCTATCATATCCCCTCTTCCATTAGCTGTCTCTTTTCCAACCTGAAAAGTCCCAGTCTTATTAATGTCTCTTCATATGGAAGCTGCTCTATACCACTAATAATTTTTGTTGCCCTTTCCTGAACTGTATGCAATTCTAATATATCTTTTTTGAAATGGGGCAACCAGATCTGCACTCAGTACTCAAGATGTGGACGTACCATGGATTTAAATGGGGGCAATATGATATTTTCTGTCTTATTATCTATCCCTTTCCTAATGATTCCCAATGTTCTGTTAGCTATAGGGGAGAATCAGATCATGTATATCTCTTTTTGTTTCTATCTATCAAACTGTATTTATAAACCCTACATCTTTACACATGTAGCTACTAGTTTAGGTCATAAGCAGTGGCTAGCTATTCAAATCTTAAAGGCCTGGGAGGGACAGCTAGCAGTCAGACTTTCAGGCAGGACTGCAGTGTAAGAAAATCTGATTTTAACTCCTTTTCATTTATATTCTGTGCACAGATATAATATATTCAGTAATCAAGTGCACCAGTTCTTTTTGGAAATGTCAACCTAGTAAATGACAGATTTGACTCAATTGTTTATTTGTCTTTCAACTTTGAATGGCTGTCTAGCTGACTTCCAGTTGGCAACTTGCACCGGAACAGGGAACAAAATAAAGGACATTCTAACTCTAGCAGGGCTGTGGGCATTTGTATTAACCACTCTCCATGTCAATATGTAGTATAGATACATGACTTAGTACAGTTAACTTACTGTTAAAGTCCTTAAAGCAGGCCTTATTCAAGCAAATGCCCCATTGATTTCAAAAGATACTTTTCTTGAGTAAAGACTGTAGGATCTCGCCCTAAATGAAAGACCTGTGACTGTTCACATGGAACTTCAATATAAAGGGTGGGTTTCGGTGTCTTATATATTTGTGAATCTCAGCCCAAGTTTCCTAATGGTTCATAAACCTTAGCTGATGACATTCTCCTACCCTATATAAAGGAATCCTCTGAGGGAATAAATATTACACTAGTCCAAGGTCAGGGAGTTATACTGAGTCCTGGGCCAGCTCAAAAGAATTACCACTAGACAGAGGACAATGACAGGTTGAAGATTCAAAGTCTTGTAAATTCTATGTAGTAGAAACAAAACATACACTACACATCAGGGGATTCTCAGTCTTCCGGAGTTGCATAGCATTCATTTGCAGCCCTTGAAGGTTCCAAGACAGCAGAAACAAAGTGCTCCACAAACAAAGGAAGACAAACCAGTGCT